TGATAAACATGCACCTTCATGATCCACTTTAAGCAATAATACAACAAACATGAACAAGAATGAAAAATAAAAGGAATATTACTTTAGAGAACTAGCTTGCTATTTACTCTTTTTTATAAGTTATATCATCTTCGCAATCGCTATCGAATTCGGGGTTATACCTTGTGGTGATTATGACAATGGATAGTCAAGTATCAGGCGAGGCAGAACAAAATGCAGCCACAAGGGGTGCTTGTATCGCACAGTACGGCAATACACCTTGTTCATTCTGGCACGACTGGAGTAGAATGCCATGCTGTCTCTATTTTTCGCAAGTCACAGATTTACTACTCGTTTCTCGGTTGGTTGAGCAGAAGTAACGTGGGGTTAATTCGTTGCTCAAAGGAATTAGTGGTTGAGACAAATGTTATCATTCATCTGATTCGAGCCCGACAATTTGAATTCAATGCCGAATACTCAGTCACTGTGTATATTATGTCATCAATATCATTGCCTTTCATACATGCTACGCTTGAGAGACAGCCAAAAAGGAAACAGCAGTATATCTAGAATACTGAACAAATCTGAAGACTCATACACCATCTGAAGAAGAATAATGCTGTGGTGTTCGAAACGTTTAGACAAAGTCTTTATCGAACTCTATATGTAATATAACTTTTTTACTTTGCCCTGTTACACAAACAGCTTCAAAGATGCTACAAATATCAAATAACTCATTAATAGAAGAAAACTGATTGACTGATAGCAGACAGCAGGTATGGTGCAATGGATGAACCAGCCAAGAGTAAGAAATTAAGAGACCACTATACCGCTGCAGGCGGTGATATCCTACCCTCTTTTCAAGACAAGAAAATACGTCGCGGTTTTAAAGTAGCTGTAAAATTTATAAGACATTCCCTTAAGGTCCATCCGAACTAAGGCCCTTCTCAACGTTCAAACCACTAATACGAGTACACATATACGACTTTCATCAATACAGTAGTTAAAACAATAAATGGACTATTCAAAAGTTGTATACAACAACAGTGGCAGGAACAGTTCCGAGCGTAGCTCCGAATTAGACAGTGGCCGCCGCAGTCTTCCCTGATAAACATTTAACTATGTAAGTAATATATTTTAATGTGAATCCAATATCAGTTTTGGTACTGGTCTTAGAAAATAAAAATAAGTAGTGCCAACATTAAAGGGTCTCCACTAAACCGCCAAGGGAACGGCGAGATCACAGCATGTAAATACGTAGTAGCGATGTCATTACTTTGACCAGGGTTATCAAAAGCCAGCGATATGCTAGTAAGTATGTAAGGAGACTAGCTTAATGCATATGGCCGAAATTGTTATCATTCTTACCATTTCTGCACTTTACAATTATGCTTTCAGTGCATGTTACAAAGCCAAACCTGACATGAGGAACGTAGTCTCAGCAATAACGCTAGGTCACGTTCCTAAAATTAGATGACACTATTTAAACTAAGCTAGATGCCAATTAAGCCATGGTTAGATGTTAATTGTTTCAGTTCTTTTTTCGCTTTGATTAAATCAACTTAAAAATGAAAAAATGCCAAGCAATTTCACCAACAACGCTCACGAACTGAGCATTTAGATAATGACAGACTAGGCAGGATCTTAGTTACTTCGACTTTCTCCTCCGGTACGTAATTCTCTCCTTCCCAGTGTTCTCTTTTCTTCAAATACATGGTAAACTGACCGTCGATTTGAAACTAAAATGTGCATTTAAAAAAGGCCTTTGTATCAACAACAAAATATGACTTATACCTATGCTGTCATTAGATAAATTTCCATAATATATGAGCGAAATACCAAACTACATGCACAAATCAACGAAAGACTACACCATTTCACTTAAGTGAACGACGTATTCAACCATCGAGAGCTTATATTGTCAACAGAGAAAAAGGGGATTGTACTTAAAAATCAAGGAAGTCGGGTACGGTGGGATTATGAAGTGCCGATTGTAATAGTCGCAGTAATATTCGGTTTCAAAGTTTGTTACAGTGTAGATAGTGTCTTAAGTTTTTCAGAGGATTCTCTGCTATGATGGTATTATAATGCGTTTTTAGTTGCTTTATAGACAGTAGCAGTAACCAGTTACCAGATTTATCTTTTATTCAGAAAATGCATTTTGAGATCCCTTTCTCACTCATGTTCCATTCAATTCATGTGAATGGTGTGCGTTTCTCTTAATTTTCGATGGAAATACGTCCTTCTTTTTCTGGTTCTCTCCCTTTCCCTCCCTTTGGTCTTAGGTGTTGTCGGATCGATGTCATGGCGTGATTTATTGCTAATGTATCCAAATTGGTCACGCACTGATTGTCGTACCGATGACTGCATAACACTTGGTTTATTTATGCGCAGTGCAGAAAATATAGCCAGTCCGATGATTGGCCAGTACCGACGTTGGCGAAAACAATCAGATGCTTTTGAAATCAACCCTTCTTGAAAGGCCCGTAAGACACGGTCGAAATTCATTACTGAACAATCATCTGATTACTTATATTATTTGTATTGTGGAGAAATTAACCGTATTTTATGCTGCCTCATGCTCCTGCTAAAACGAGTTGTGCAGCAAGCGGTTCACGCTCGTAATTGACCACCCGGTCGGTGGAAATATACGCACGTGAATTCAAACACAATGAATCGATCATACAGAGACTGTATTGGAATAGCTTGACTATTCTGTGGTGATTATGAAAAATCGCATAGTAGAACAGAGATACGTATTTATATAAAGGTTTTATTACTCAACATCCCTCACTGCATGTTTCTTGAAAGAGTGGTCCTACATACAAGCGGTACAGTTGAGATTGTTTCTGAGGATTGCGGCGTGACGAGGCGGGATAAAGTTCCGTGCAGAATAGGGCCCAGATATTTTGGGAGAGCTTTCGATACCGCCGCTGAATATATCCCATTAAAAATAATCATACCAGATTGAAATGGCAAAAATGCACAGAGCAAAGAAATAAAAATCTGTTTTTCATTTTACACTAGCATCTATAATGCACCGTCCCCTTGCTTTTAGACGTCTAAGGGGACCATTAAAGCAGGCCTCGGCTCCATGGTATTTAAGCGCCTGCTTTGCATACAGCGCAGGACAACGTGACAAACCTGGGTTGAACAAAAGTACTGTCACGATTCGTAGGCGAATGAGTGACAAAATGGATCCTCTCTGTAGAATAAGGTCGCTCCTAACAAGTTCTGGTTAATGGTCAGTCGTCTAAAATTGATAAATGATCACTTCTAGGAAACTTGATTTTGTATTTTCATATTTCTCATAAAATTAATATAAACTGTTCAGGCACAAATTTTATGTAACGCGCAAAAATGTAGAAACATGTAGATATGTCCTTGTAAATGATCAGTCAATTTTTACAGTGCATCGTAATTTCAATTCAAGCTTAATTAGTACGTTGCAGTTTTGTTCAAACAAAGGACTGTCCATTATGAACACCTTCGTGCATTGAAGAATGCATCTGTACCGAGAAGCTTGTGCACACAGGTCGACGATCGATTTGATAATCGTATCGTCTGACCTAAGACGCTCAGTAATGGATGTTCGTGTTAAAAGA